GCGCTTACGGTCTTTGGAGGCGTTGCACTTGGTGCAGCCGAAGAATGACTTAATTCCACAGCTTCCATACCTTGGACTCTGCATTCGATTCTTAAGTCAATTTTTCGGCATTTTGTGCCTTTGATATTGTTTCACACCTATATTTCATACAATCAGATGTTAAAAGGTGATGGATAGGTAAATAGGTATACTGAAATCAACTCATGCTTACCAACGAAGATTGATCATGCTTGAAACATTGGAGAACACAACATCTAGGATAGGTGCCACTACCTTTAGCACATATTCCATCTCTGTAAGCTTTTTACAACAATGTTATTCGGTACAACATATCATTTATTATATTATTGTTGTTGAATTAATGGTATAAATTACTGACAATCTTAATTACAGTCTTGGATTGTCATACATTGTAGATCTCACATCTGAATTTGAAATTGGAATGCATACATTCTTTGGTGAAGAATGGGATGATCTTAAAACCAAGGTGTATGGTCAACTCAATCTCACACCATTGCATTTTGAGGGCATTATTCTTGAAACCATAAAAGCTATTGAAGAGGTAAAAGATTCACTTAGCCTTGAAGAAATCATTTCCAAGTCAATATCGTTAAACTTATTTTTGCATTTAGATGTGCACTATATATAAATATTGGGAGGTGCAAGAACTTATATTGGATGAAATGAAAAAACAGTCAGCCAGTTAAAGATGGCTCTGCAACTAGGGAGTTGCAACCCAAAAAAATATTGACATCTAATGCTGCAACTGTTGCAACTGTCTGCAACTGTATGCAACCTCTGGTTGGTCAGCTACTTCAATCAAAGATGGCTCTGCTACGAGGGAGTTGCAACCCAAAGAAATATTGACATCTAATGCTGCAACTGCTGCAACTGTCTGCAACTGTCTGCAACTGTCTGCAACCTCTGGTTGGTCAGCTACTTCAATCACTATAAAACTAAATTTATTTTTATTAAAAAAATTTTTTTAATTAATGATTTTATTTAAAAACAATAAATCCCATTTTGCAGTCATGTGATTCATTTTTGATACTAAATCATCATAATTATTATAGTTGCAGAGGTTGCAGGCAGTTTCAGAGGTTGCAGAGAATGTTGTAACTCGAGCTTTACAACCCTGCAGTTGCAGAAAATGTGAAAACAGTTACAGACACCAACTTTAGTAACAGTTCAATTTCAATTAACTTAAAATAGAAAAAACTGGTCATAAGTAACATACATTATAACAACAAAGAATGTTTTGCAAGAACATGCCTTCCTTTGAAAGCCTTGCTTTGTTAAAAATAATCCAGTTAATCCAGCAGATTGCAAGATCTAAATAAGAGGTAAAAAT